ATTGCTGGGCAGAGTCCATGGACCATCTCCCTGTAAAAGAAGGAAGTTTTCCATGTGTGCAGAGTTGGGGAGAGGATCTGAGGGCCTGCTTCACTCAGGCCTTCTGTTTTTGGCACCATCTTTAGCCTCGTGAAGAGGAGATCGATGAGAAATTAATTTTCAGAAAATTCCTAAGATAAATGAGTTTTAGTTTCTTCACTGCAGTTTTTCAGTCTTTGCCCTAATGCGTACTGGCAATCTGTAAGGAAGCAGAATTTCCTGAATTTTTTTGACCACAGAACGATTTTTTCACTGGTAGATGGTCTTTCAAATAAATAGAACCCATTTCAGAAAGACTAACCTGGTTCATTTTTCCTTATCTAGTTTGCTGAGTTGGGCAGGGCTCTTGTTTGCAAGAGCGGAAAACCCAGTTTAAACTCATTTAAGCCACAAAGGGAAACTGACCGGCTCACATGACGGGGCAGAGCAGGGCTTTGAACCAGGCGCGCAGATAATGTCAATGTGGCTCTTTCTGTCTCCAGCTCATGTTAGGCTTCATTCCCTAGGTCGTTTCTGCCCTGTGGCAGGCAGCATGGCCCCTGGCATCCGCAGGCTGACGTCCTCCCCCCCTTGGCCACTTCAGTGGGAAGGGAAGCCACCTCTTCTGTTGGCTCTGGCACACAAGTCCTCCTGATGATCCTCATGGTCTGGGCTTGTCATGTCCAAACCTGAACCGGTCATGGTGGCCAGGAAGATGGGTTACTCTGCAGGCTTGGGTCACGGGCCCCATTCCTGTGTCTAGGGAAGGAGGAGGCCTGTGATTGACAGCCTCACCTTGACCCTGTCCTGTCCTTGTTAACTGTAGCTCAGCTGGTCTTTATCAGGTTAGATTATTTCTGATCTTTTGTTATGACTAACGATGTAAAATTGGCTGAGCTTTGAACGGGGGTTGGACTTACTGGGCATAATTCGTCCCAGTTGTAAAGACCTCACTGCACTAAAGGGCACAAAAAGATCCTGCCTGGAAAGCTGGTCTGTTAATTGAAAGCTGTGCGTGGAGAGATGGGGATCTGGCAGGTGGGAGAGGGGAGATTCTTTGGAGGGGCCTGAGAGCAGCGGAGAGTATCGGGATCCTGACACTGGTTTGGGCGACCCGGGTGAGGCACCGTGGTCGTTGCTACGTGAAGTCCGCAGCAGAGGGCTGCTCAGGCCACGGGCTGGGGCTCGTTGGCCTGGGATTGTTGTTGATCTTGGGGTGAGCGAGCTTCCGTGTGCTTCCTGGCTGTCTAAAGGGAGGGCGGTAATACCACCAGAAGCACGAGTTGTGAGTGGTCAGTGAGGTGACCCGTGAAGCACTTGTTTCATGCCTGGACGTGGTAGAAGTAGCAGCCGCACTGTCAGTAAATGTCGAGTTACTCGAGTGTACATTCCTTTTTCTTCCCAGGTGATTTTCTCCCCCCTTATCATTGTATTTTAACATAGTTACAGATTTCCTTACAGCAGTAAAAGTTGTGTGGATATGCTGTATGGCTGGTCCAGGTTTCCCCAGTGGTAATGTCTTGCAAAACTGTGAGTGTCACACCCGGGATACGGACATTGATCTGGTCAGGACGGAGGACGTTTCCATCTCCCCAAGGACTTCTCCTGTTGACCGTGGCTAGTGGCCTTCCCTTCTCTCCTGCCCCATCCTCTCCTCAATCCCTGGTGACCTCTGTTGTGTTCCCCATTTCTGTAATTTTGTTATTTCAGGCTCAAGGATGTTACAAACATGTAACCATAGAGCCCGTAAGCTTTCGGGAGCGGCTGTATTCACAGCAGCATGATTCCCTGGAGATTCGTCCTGCCTGTTGTATGTATCAGTGGTACTTTTCCTTTTTTTTTTTTTTTTTTTTTTTTTTTTTTTTTTTTTTTTAATCGCTGAGTAGTATTCCCTGGTGCAGCCGTACTGTGGTGCAGCCGTACTGCGGTTTAGGGCATGTGGGTGTCTGCAGGTTTTGACAAAGCAGTTGCTGTAAGTAAGCATTTGGGTTTAGGTTTTTGTGGAGATGGAAGTCTTTATTTCTCTCGGATAAACCCTCAGAAGTAACATGGGAGTTCCATGGTTAGTTTTTTAAGAAGATGCTGAGCTGTTTTCCAGAGTGACTGTGCCGTTTTATATTCCCCCTAGGATTGTAGGAGTGGTCCAGTTTCTCTGCATCCTTGTCAGGGTTTAGTGCTGTCACTGTTTTTTTTTTTTTTTTTTTTTTTT